AATACAAGAACCCCCCCGGACGCCCCGGACAGAGAGTGAAAAGTGGACATGTATGGCCTCCTGGTTTGATGCCAGCTCAGGCTTTCTCCATGCAGTTAATGGAAGATTTAAACACGAAACGGGAGACTGTCTTAAATGCGAGACAGAGCCTGGTCATGCTACTCTCCAGGCCAGCACATGTTGGCACGGAGCACACGCGGGGTGAGGTGTTGTGGTGGCGGGGCTGCGTTCAAGAGTTGGGGTTGCTAAGCCGTTGCTTGGCCCAATCTTGGGGTTGCTTTAGCAACCCCTAGCTACCGCCTGGCACTGCCCGTGGACGGTGCAGAGGAGTTGGCGCTCTGTCTGAATTACCACGGTGAAAGGCTGAGCAGAGTATGCTTTTGTCAGGGCTTCTCGTCAGGGCATCTCATTAGGTGCTATTTCAGCCAGATTTCTTAAATCACTCACTCCAGCATGCTCTTCTGCACCCTTTGGCCGTGGGCTCACTGGATTGCGTCTGTGACATGTGACAGACTTGCTCCGAGCTCCCGCAGCCATTACACTTTTCACCTCGCGCACCTCCTCGAGCACCCCCAGGGGTGCGCGCACCACACTCAGTGAATCCCTGCTCTAGGGTAACACTCCTTATTACACTCACTATTTGTCCCTCACTGCTTTCTGTAGGTGTTTCCTGATTACACGGGGCAGGGTTTGGCATTAACAGAACTCCGGTCGGCAGCCACAGTGAAAAAGTTCACTAAAACACACAAACGGCTCCAAATAACAGTCACAAAGCTAGATGCAATGTTTAGATCAGTACATTGCCCAAGAGGTTCCCTGATCGAGCAGACACGTGAGAATACACTTAATGATCGCTTAGAGATGGAGAAAGCTAGTGGCTAATGCTAGCAGATAGCTGCTATAATCAAGTATGGTGTGCTTCTTCAAAAATTCGTAATCGTTTATGTTTGCATCTTATTGAATTGATTGTTAGATTATTTTCCTCAGCTCTACCGAGCACTAGGGATGCACCGATCAGGTTTTTTGCTCCCGATCACCGATACCGATATCAAAGAATGCTGATCACCGATACCGATCACCGATACCGATCACGTGGCTTGGCCAGAAATTTTCTACAACATTATAATGAGTGCTACAAACTACATAATCTGGGAATAAAGGAAATGTAACCTAATCTAAAATGGTCTGTATTAGGGTTGTCACGGTGTGAAAATTTAAACTCACTGTTATTGTGACCGAAATTACCACGGTTTTCGGTATTATAGCGGTATTTTTTTTAAACGTGCTACATTTTCACACAATTAAATAAACCCTGTATGTCAGGAAATATTGTCCTCAGTTTGTGTCAAAATTTTGTCTAAAATGTGTTTTTTTTTGCAATGATGTTGTTTATTTGTTTACATTTTTACATAGAAAATGGCCTGTGAGGACTCTCCACCACACAGGAGAGACCCAGTGAAAGCAGAAAAACAGTAGGCTTTATAGGCAGCACCACACCCTGAGCCCAGGTGCCTCCAAGGCTGCTTAACGAGCTGCCTACAACAGAAGAAAAAACACAGAGTGCCAAAACTCCCAACAGCACGCGCAATGTGGACAAAATTCGTGCACGGGTGTTGGCGTCCATCTGATGCTGTCTTTGTAGCTTTTGTTCTTGTAGTCATATATTGCTGTTTTGATGTCTTTGGTCAGCTGTGTCACTAATTTACTTTTAACAGTTCATTGTTAAAGATCTGAAGAACAGGCTTAACACATGAAATGGTCACATACTCTACAGCAGTAAAGGCATCTGTAAACTCTAAAAGTGGACTCAATGCAGCGCTGACCGAGCCAAGCACTAGGGCTGTCGCGGTTGAGGAATTCCCCCTGCGGTGATTCAGGGTGACTTAATATTGCGGTGTGCGATATTATTGCAGCCCTTTTTTATTGCAGTACTATCTAAACATAATGTTTACACATTTAAAAAAGGTTAAAAATTGCCGTGCCTTCTTTAATAACACTTTACTGAATGCAGATCAAAGGGCAGTAACAACACAGATCGCAGTAACGTTTGTTTCTCTGACAGTCGGAGTCCGACTGAACTTAAAAACAACAAAATTCAGGAGGTCAAACTTTTAAATACAAATCTGGCTGCAGCATCTAACAAATAAGAAACAAGTCCCCATTTTATTTAGTTGTTTAAAATCAAGCATAAAAAATTACATGTACCGGGCGTGCGCGCGCCGGGGGGCGGGCGCACTATCATTTCACTTTCACACACACGAATGACGGTGATTTATAGCTCGGTCACGTCCTTGTTACCCACAAGGAAAACCAGCATGTTAACCATATACGGTTTGAGAGAGGATCTGAGAGGGGTGGCAACATTTCCAGCAACACTGAAAACCCTCTCGGATGGAGCGCTCGTTGCACTAACGCACACGTACCTGCGTGCGACTCTGGCAAGAAAGGGAATCTCTCCCGGTTGTTGCTCCACCATGTCAGGGGGGTTTCTTTAGGGTGGATGCATTCCTCCTGCAGGTAGCGAGTGAGCTCCAGCTCGGCTCAAACTCTCTTCGGGACGGTTGCAGAAGCAGTGCTTGTCCGGGACTTCAGCAGGTCTCCGAGCGTTTATTTATTTATTTTTGCCGCTGGTGGCAGCTCTGTCTCAGCCAAGGACTCTGGCTGCGCAGCAGCTGACGTACTGAAAACCAAAGTGCTCCCAAAGGAGCGAAGTAACGTTTCGTTTTGATACCAGTGCAGCCATCCTTCTCAACATGCATCATTGAGTTGAACCAAGTTCAGTAATCGCGGTGGCCCATGATGCAGCGCGGTGGGCTTCTTCATATTGCGATATTTCATTTTTGCGGTTACCGCGACAGCCCTACCAAGCACCTGTATGTCTTGCCATGAGGTGCCTTGTGGTTTTATCAGCAGCTAAAACCTGTGGTATAGTCTTTTCATGTTCCTGCAGTCGCTGGATCATTCTCTGCTTTGAACCCCAACGAGTGCAACATTCAGTTGTGAGTTAGTGTTCTGGTGGGCCCAGTTCTTTTTGGGCAGCCTGCAGAGCACGCTGGCACTTCCAGCTGTGGCCAAAGGCACCAACAATCTTCTTTCTCACCCCAACTGCTCGATCAATCCTTTGGTCCATCACACTTCTTTCTAAAAAAGACAAATTTAAAGGAAAATAATTAATTGTTCAACACCAATATTAATGCAGGGTGGAATGTGTGACATTTAAGTTTAATGTATAACACACACACACACACACACACACACACACACACACACACACACACACACACACGCAACTTAAAAGGTCTTACAGCATAAATGCACACATCCAGCCTTCCTGTTCATTTTTAGACATCCAAAGATTAATAATATAAACATTACTATTATTTAAACTAATGCAATAAATGCTTAATCTGACATTTTAATCAACTTACCTATGGCAGTGTGCAGGCGATGTCCGAAGCATGAGCGTCTGGTCCAGTTGTTGAGTGCGACAGCCTTCACAACGTTGGCCCCGCTGTCTGTCGTCACACACACCTGTTTTTCCTCCTGAAGATTCCACGAGCTGAGGAACTCTTTTAGGCCTTTGGCTACATTTTCCCCGGTATGGTCCTCGGGGAAAAACCTTGTTTCAAGGCCCTTGTTTTGTAGCTTCCAGTCTTTGTCCACGTAGTGTATTGTGAGGCTCATGTAGGGGTCTGATGTTCGGCTTGACGGCATGCCTGTGGTGGATGCAAAAAACTCCACAGACAATAATGCATTTAACACCTCACTACGAACCTCTTCATATAAAGCAAGCAAAGCGACTTGAGAGAAGTATTTCTTGGTGGGCAGCTTGTAGCGTGAATCAAATGTTTTAAGCATCTTTGTGAAACCTTTTTCCACACTCTGATTATATCCCTGGCTAAACAATGCGTTACTGCATTAGTTAGTTCTCTCCAGCGTTTTCTACTTTTGTCATACGGGGTGCAGCTATTTATAGCTGTGCCGATTGTTTGTTGAGTCAGCTTCTTTGGTCTTACCACCGCACTTGTTGAAGGGGATGCCTGTTCGCGTGCTTTAACAGCTTTGTTGCACTCCAAAAAGTGCTTCTGCTTCATTTGATGAAATAGGTTTGCGGTGTTTCCTCCTATTGCCACAACAGCCTGCTTGCATGTTCTACAAAAAATTGTCCTTTGTTGGGTATCTGACGGGCGGAAACCGAACCAGTTCCACACCACTGAAATAGCACCTATTTTTAAAAACAAATTCTGTTTCATTCTCCTCCTCCGTCGCCATGCTTTTTCCACCATGTGCATATGAAAACAAAGGCACTGCGCAAGCGCGTTTTACCCATTCTATCCTATTGCGATATTTTATTTCCTTATCATTGCCCAGCATTGTACCGGTATTACCGTGTAAGGTATGATATGGCTCAGCCCTACTTAATGGTCTTATCTCGTCAGATCGCACGGCTCTAGTGATAAATGACTTTGTGTAGCACCTCTCTAAGTTAGAACACTCAAGAACACTTTACACACCTTCATACACCAATGGTGATAAGCTACATGATAGCCACAGCTGTCCCGAGGTGTGTTGACAGGCCAGGCAAGGCTGCCACCTACAGATGGACTCAGACACCTCTCTACTGATATTGTTAGTGCAGCTATGCTGTCCTCCTAATCAAAGTTCAGCTGTACTTGTGCCTTTTCTTCGGCATTCATTCACTAACTTTAACTCCTCTGCACATCAGAAATCATTTCTTATCTGAGGTGAATTGTTGAAGTCCTGGCATGTCTACAGTGAGGGCTTCTCTTACGTCATGTTGTGTTTCCAATCCACGCCCAACCAGAACCCGTAAAGTGATGTGATCAGACAGCAGCTCTGGAACAGCTGATCTTCTCTTCGGGACAGCGGTCCTGTGGTGAAGCTGGTGTTAGTAGTGTTTCCTTTCTCAGCTTTAAATTCACTTTCTGCTCTCTCTCTTTCTCTTCCCCCCCCCCCCCCCCCCCCCCTCCCACACACAGATGTACCTTCTCCTTCTAAAGCTCAGCCTTGTCCTCTGATGCAGTTCCCTACAGGCAAGTTGTGTGTTTCCCTGTCACCGTGGTTGTTCTGTTGTGACCTGTTGCACCATGTAGATTTATTCACATGAAGATTTTGGATGATAACACTGCATTGCTTGTTTTTGTGTTGCATTGTGACTCATTGTGTGTTTGTTGTAGATTTAGATAACTTAACAAGTATTTTGTAGCAAAATCATGATTTCATTCAGTGACTGTTAGGTTAAACCTTTAAATAACCTCTAGTAAACGTTCCTGGAGGAAAATCATGATGCCCTTTCATCTAACAGTTTGTGTTTGACACTCCTAGGCATGGTTTATTGGCTCCAAACCTGGGACAAAAAAATAAACGATTAAACAATACCACCATGCATCAACTTGGGAGAAATCACCAGACAAGTACTGGGAAATGTTAACTCTATTATTTAAGTCCTGTTATTCCAAATTAAGATAAAAAGCAGATTCTACAGTCTAATCCATCTTTATTATTTAGTCTTTTTTTAAGTTGAATGTTGATCCTTACCACCTTGTCAGTAACTTCTTCAGAGGTATGTAAATGTATTTATATTATTTTATAAAAACTGCAAAACTTATTTGTCATTGAAGCAATCATAAAGATTTCCATTTGGGATGCAGCCTTTTGGGTTGATTTCTGATAGGGCTGCACGATATTAGGAAAACCTGCGATATTCGATAACAGTGCTTAATATTGCGATATCGGTATTACTTGCAATAAATGAACAAATACTAAAGTATGCAGTGTTGATGTCGTCTGGCGTGTGACGTCTGCTCTGGGTTTAAAGCAAACAGAAACTAATGCATGAATTCCATTACAACATAACATTTTTATTGCAAAAATATGCAGCTGCACCTGCTACTGTATTAGCAGCAAAACAACAAACTGCATGCATGCAGTTTCTCAGTGACTTTAAAACATCACCACCACCATAAAACTTTTTCTGATGCTCCAAATACAGAAATACATCCCTTACCAGGGTTTTTGAATAAATAAAAATATCTGAAAATAGGTTTATATGTTAAATAATAGTTAACATCACTTAAATGCAACAGCAAATTCTTTCATTGCTACTGAACATTTTCTCCACTTATGTGGTTATGATATACAGTGGGGCAAAAAAGTATTTAGTCAGCCACCGATTGTGCAAGTTCTCCCACTTAAAATGATGACAGTGGTCAGTAATTTTCATCATAGGTACACTTCAACTGTGAGAGACAGATTGTGAAAAAAAAATCCATGAATTCACATGGCAGGATTTTTAAAGAATTTATTTGTAAATCAGGGTGGAAAATAAGTATTTGGTCACTTCAAACAAGGAAAATCCGTGGCTCTCACAGACCTGTAATGGCTTCTTTAAGAAGCTTTTCTGTCCTCCACTCTTTAGCTGTATTAATGGCACCTGTTTGAACACATTATCTGTATAAAAGACACCTGTCCACAGCCTCAAACAATCAGACTCCAAACTCCACTATGGCCAAGACCAAAGAGCTTTCAAAGGACACCAGGAAAAGAATTGTAGACCTACACCACACTGGGAAGAGTGAATCTACAATAGGCAAGCAGCTTTTTGTGAAAAAATCAACTGTGGGAGCAATTATCAGAAAATGGAAGACATACAAGTCCACTGATAATCTCCCTCGATCTGGGGCTCCACGCAAGATCTCATCCCGTGGGGTCAAAATTATCATGAGAACGGTGAGCAAGAATCCCAGAACCACACGGGGGGGCCTGGTGAATGACCTGCAGAGAGCTGGGACCACAGTAACAAAGGTCACCATCAGTAACACACTACAACGGCAGGGAATCAAATCCTGCAGTGCCAGACGTGTTCCACTGCTGAAGCCAGTGCATGTCCAGGCCCGTCTGAAGTTTGCCAGAGAGCACATGGATGATACAGCAGAGGACTGGGAGAATTTCATGTGGTCAGATGAAACCAAAGTAGAACTTTTTGGTATAAACTCAACTCGTCGTGTTTGGAGGAAGAAGAATACTGAGTTGCATCCCAAGAACACCATACCTACTGTGAAGCATGGGGGTGGGAACATCATGCTTTGGGGCTGTTTTTCTGCTAAGGGGACAGGACGACTGATCCGTGTTAAGGACAGAATGAATGGGGCCATGTATCGTGAGATTCTGAGCCAAAACCTCCTTCTATCAGTGAGAGCTTTGAAGATGAAACGTGGCTGGGTCTTCCAACACGACAATGATCCCAAACACACCGCCCGGGCAACAAAGGAGTGGCTCCGTAAGAAGCATTTGAAAGTCCTGGAGTGGCCTAGCCAGTCTCCAGACCTCAACCCCATAGAAAATCTGTGGAGGGAGTTGAAAGTCCGTGTTGCTCGGCGACAGCCCCAAAACATCACTGCTCTCGAGAAGATCTGCATGGAGGAATGGGCCAAAATACCAGCTACTGTGTGTGCAAACCTGGTAAAGACCTATAGTAATCGTTTGACCTCTGTTATTGCCAACAAAGGTTATGCTACAAAGTATTGAGTTGAATTTTTGTTATTAACCAAATACTTATTTTCCACCCCGATTTACAAATAAATTCTTTAAAAATCCTGCCATGTGAATTCATGGATTTTATTTCACATTCTATCTCTCACAGTTGAAGTGTACCTATGATGAAAATTACTGACCTCTGTCATCATTTTAAGTGGGAGAACTTGCACAATCGGTGGCTGACTAAATACTTTTTTGCCCCACTGTAAGGCTGTTGCTGCATTTGGAAAGTGAACTGTGCTGGGCCAAACTAGGAGAATATTAAGATTTTCTGAGGGAAAGAGAAAAACAATTGTCTACCTTTCAGAAGAGGAACTGGCAAAAAACCTACATGGAAAATATGTGAAAACATTTGGTTTTAACCCCAAATTGAACAAGTTTACCTAGATCTTAAAAAGCAGCTCAGATGATGAAACTGCAAGTATGATTCTGATAACAAGCTAACAAATTGAACTAGCTCCTCTAAGATAACCGGCTAGCAGAGCTTCTGACTGACAGTTTATGTGCAGCAGCAAATCAACTATCCTGATTAACAAGGTTATAAAAGCTCATAAATGAAAAATCACTTTATGTGTGGGGGAACTTTTCCAGGCCCTCTTTAGCAGGGTGGGGCTGGGAGGAGAGTGCTGTAGCCTTTTAGCTGGAAGCTAACCGGAGCCTGAGGCTAACATCACCACCCGGTGGAACACTAGCGACTTGAAGGTGGGTTGGTTCACCGGCACGTGTCGGAGTCAGCCCGGTAAAAATGATTAACGACACCGAGCGGACTCACGTTCACGTTTGAAAGCAGCGCTGATTCCAGAAACATCAGCACAAAGTGTGTTCATTGCTCTGAGCCAGCATGACGAACAAGGGAACGGCGCCGCTAGCTCAGTTCGGGTGTTGCTTTCCATCCTAAGGGTCTACGTAGGGGGCAGGCGTATTACGTGAACGGACCCATTTGATTGGCCCCGCATATCAGAAGGGCTACATTTGATTGGTCAAATAATACTTCCACGTAAAAAACAGAGCTGGTTTACAAAAAGCTGATGTATGACACGGATGGAAATGTTTGAACCAAACATTTATCGCCGTTTTTGGCATGCTTTGCGGTGGGCCTATCGCACGTCCTGTTATACCGATGACGATAATTTTTCGATATATTGTGCAGCCCTAATTTCTGACATTAATACTGCTGTTATGCCTGATGGCTGATATTATATACCTGATAAATATACAAATATTTTACTACATTTTTTGAACATGCAAATTGCAACAGGATGGAAATCGGACCAACATCAATGTTTGATTCTGCTATCTCATTTCTACTTTCCCTTTGAACCAAGTGTCATATCAAGTAAGAGAGGTTTAGCAGCAAGTCCGTAATGAATCGGTGTGACAGTATATTTAAAATAAAAAGATAACTGTATATTTCCTTTTTAGAAAGGCCATTTAGAAATTTAATTAGTGTTTTCTTTAACTGTAGCTGAACACTTCCCTATCCACCTCTTCTTACTGTAGGGAGCTTAGATCCCACCCATCTATGGGTCCCCTACTGCCAAAAATAGTGAATGGGAGTCTAGGAGAGAATACAAGTAATTTTCTGATCCTGTTTGACAGTAGCCATGGATTTAACATATGATGCTTTATTTAAAAACCCATTTTGATGCCAAGAAAGAAACAGGTGGTAAAAGTTATTTTAGGTTTTGTGTGAAAAGACGTACAGAACTCCAAATGTTTGTTTCAGCTAATTCACGCCATCAGAGAAGAAAAGTATCTGCTAGTTTAGCGAGCTTCACATCCTCCTTCCAGGACAACAGAACAAGCATTAAAGATGGAGAAAACCACCATAAATCTGGCCATGTGGTTGGTCGCAGTTATGCTTGGGAGAAGTGTCACACCCTGTCCTGTCTCCCCATTCTGTTCAGTCCTGTGTCCATGTTAATTGCTCCCACCTGCCTCTCGTTTCCCAATCACCCAAGGTCCCAGCTAGGGTTGGCCTCTCGTTTCCCAATCACCCAAGGTCCCAGCTAGGGTTGTCACGATACTAAAATTTCAAACTCGATTCGATACTGGAAAAAAAAAACTCGATACTCGATTTCAAAACTATTTAAAAACACCAATTTATTGAACAAGTTTATTCAAAAAATAACATTCCTCAATTTATATTGCAAAAATTAAATGTTAAGAATTAAGTGTATAAAGTGCTTAAACCTTTCAAGTATCAGCATTTTTTTAAACGTGCATACAAAAACTGGCGAAAGTTAACACTTTAAATCATGAATTGTCTCACTATATATACACTATTTGCAGAGTGATGTTTTGCTGCTTAAACTCTGTTTAAGGTGCATTGTTTTCATAAGATGTAATGCCATATGTTTTGTTCTGTACTTTTGAACAACTCTGTTGGTCAATAAAGGGAGAAAATGAATTTCTCCACAGTAGGACAAAGGTACATCTACCGGTAATCTTAATAAAAACAGATTGGCGCACGGCAGTGACGTCATTAAAAGCTCCAGTTAGATTAGCCGTGGCTAGTCTATTTACGCCTAGAAATCCCAGACTCGCTCCAAACGAACAGGGGAATCACGTTAATGATTCCTAACAAAACCTTTCGACACTGAGATGTTTTGGTGCAGATAATGTCTTATTTCGAGGCTGCACCATGGGTGCCCGTCCGCACCCGTTATATGGATATACGCTGATGGCGATTCGCCGATGGATCTAAATACCCCGGGGAATCCAAGTAGCACCAAAGTTGTCAGCGTGAGTAAACAAACGTACTGCATGCTAGAAATTAAGTCCGGGTTGCAATAAACGGGAGTTTCCTTTAAGCACATAAGCGTGAATATACAACTACGTGTCGGACTTGGTATGCTAATTAAGTTGGGCTGTGAAGCACCTCCCAAATTCGCTGTTTATGTTTTTGTTTATTTATTTGGCAGACAAAACTTGGATCGGAGACAACTCGCGTGGGAAATTGCTATGTAGCCATGCGGCGTCTTCTTCTTCTGTTTGTCTGGGAGGCGGAGGTTGCTTTACGGCATCTGGCTGTCGTGCGTGTCGGTGTACTTGAAGAAGGCTGTGTATAATAGTCCATAATATCGATACCACAGGGATGGAATATCTAATTTAGATACCACTCTTATCATCGATTTATATCTAGGTATCGATTTTTTGGACAACACTAGTCCCAGCTGCTCCTGTATTTAAATCCTGTTTGTCCATTTTGTCTGGTTGGCTCATTGTTTCATTGTCCTGCGTGTCCTCCATTAAGTCAGTGTTTTAAATGTTCCTGTCTGCCTCCCGATCTGTTTCTTCCCCTGCACTTGGATCCTCACTTCCGTCTCGCTCACCGGCACGTTGTGACAAGAAGAGATTCTGCTGTGACTTCATATATGTCATGGCTGAGTTAAATTACCAGTCTTGAAAAGTTAATAAATCTCAGATTACATGACAGACATAGTCACAACTCACGCAGAGGCATTCATCATTTAAATTGAAGTACAACATGTGTGATTCAGGGCGCAAGAGAAAGCAAATTAGAAAATAACTATTCTAGCCTCGTTCAGGGACTCGCGTGCTGACAGAAATGGGAGGAGCCTTAGGCTCCTTATACAAGGATAACCTGAAGCACTCCCACCTGAGACTTTTGGTCCTCTTTGGGTTTAAAAATAGAGCTGAATAGAGGCTGACCGATATGGGTTTTTTAAGGCTGATACAGATACAGATTTTTTTATTATTTAGTTGCCAATAGAGCTCCGGACCCCACGTGACTCTCAGTTAGTAGACGCCATATTGGCAGGTAAAAGAAGCTAAACAAACACGGATGTAAACATGAACGTGAACGGGATCGGCTTGGATTTTACTTCGTCGGAGTTTACTTCACACTTGAAAACTGAAGAAATTGTTTTATATAGTCAGAAATTAAATAGACTAAACATCTCCGACCCTTACCGTGCCCCTGGGATACTTTTTAAAAACGCCAGAAGCTGTCGGAGCGGACTTCTTACCGGACCTAGCCGGGGAACCCCTTGGGTTTCCCCCGGAGGAGCTGGCTCAGGCGGCTGGGGAAAGGGAAGTCTGGGACTCTCGACGCTACTGCCCGCTCCGACGCAAGAAGCTGTCGGAGCGGACTTCTTACCGGACCTGGCCGGGGAACCCCTTGGGATTTACCCGGAGGAGCTGGCTCAGGTGGCTGGGGAGAGGGAAGTCTGGGCCTCTCAACGCTACTGCCCCCGCAACCCGACTCAGGATACGCGGATGAAAATGGATGGACAAATAACAGATTTACACGTAAGTAGTTTAAATAGAGTGCTGTGCTGTTTGAATGTATAAACTGAACGCCAAGAGAAATCACTAGTTTGATTGTTTTCCGTGAATAAAATAAAAATGTCAGGCAGGAGCGTCTCAGGATCTGTCTGAGATCTGTCTCGGTGAGACAGATAATAGCAATTCAAAGTGCTTTTAATGTGTGATCTGACAATTGATCAACCATTGCTTAAAAATTAAATACAGCTTAGCCGGTTAATTGCTGTGATCATAAAACACGTAAATGGCAGCACGCAGAAATCACGAGGCAACGTTTTATGTGATGTTTACGTGTTGCTATGAGTAATAAGACAGAAAAAGCCACGCCAAAATAAGTTTAGGAAGCCCACTAAGAATCGTAATAAAAGCATTTAAAATAAACACCATACACAGTTGAGGAAACGTTTGTTTAAGTACCTGATATGAAGCGGTCGCTGCATAAGCGAAAACCTTTTCTCTCGGGATCCCACAGTTTCATTTTAGCCCGGTCACTAGTGCGTTTTATTACAATGATCCAACGTTTGCGGCGCTCCGGATCTTGGGGAATCCTGTAGATGGCTCATTCCTTATGTCGTCTGCGTCTGGTCTGCATCCTGGGGCACAACAGGAATCTACCATATTTCCTGTCTGATTGAGTTTTCTGACAATAACAAATAGTCCAGCTGCCGGCTTCTACCTGCCAAGATGGCGCCGTTTCGATGTGAACTGTTGCATGCCGGGAGAAGTGACGTCAACTCCCGGAGCTCTATGGCCAATATCTAAAGCAGATTATTAAGGTTGATATATATATATATATATATATATATATATATATATATATATATATATATATATATATATATATATATATATATATATATGTATATAATCTATGACTTTAATGCTCTACATCAGTGGTCCTCAATAGGCGGCCTGCGGACCCCCTCTTTGTGGCCCCCAAACCCCACGCGTCGGGCGAACGGGAGGTGTGCAGTCACATAGGAGGCTGCACCCCCTCCCCCTATCCGGACCTCTTGCTTCTGGATCTTTTTTTTTTGAGTGGCCCTCAGACCATTATAATTAAGGACCCCTGCTCTACATGGTCAATCTCCTCCCTATATTACTGAACTGTTAAAGCCTTATGCTACAACCCGAGCCCTCAGGTCCACACACCAGAACCTTCTAGAAGTTCCAAAGACCAGATATAAAAGTCGAGGTGATCGCTTTTTCCAGACTGTTGCACCCCGACTTTGGAATGATCTTCCTTTATCCTTACGCAGCATTAACAGTCTGGACACTTTTAAAAAAACAGCTAAAGACCCTTTTATTTAAAGCTGCTTTTAACTAAACCTTTTATTTTCTCATTTTTAACTTGAATTTGTAATCTTTCATCTGTTTATGATAAGTTATAATTTTATAACTTATGATTTATTTTGTTTTGATCTATATGAAGCACTTTGTGATTCTTAGTCTGTGACAAGTGCTCTATGAATAAAATTTACTTACTTACAATATAAATTAAATAAGTCAATAAATCTCTTAATATTTATTGAACTTCAAATATAAAACAAACTCAAAACACTAAAAAAAACGGTGTGTTGGGGGTCCTTCGAGTCCTTTCTTCAGTCTAGTAGTGGTGGCAGCTGGCCACACAGGCTGCTGTTAATTTATTAATTTTTATTTGGCTTTTGAAAATTATTTTGGCTGATATAGAAAAATTGAATATATCGGTTGGCCTCTACAGTTGAAATCCAGCCAGCATCTTTATGTTGTTTCAATCAAAGGCTAAAATGTTAAATTGACATTGAACATATTGCTTTTGTTTTTTTCTAAAGATAAGTAGCACAGTCCCAAGAATAGTTAGTCATGTTTCTGTTTAAAACTGATGTTTTACAACAAAAAAAAAAGAGCCAAATATAACATTTTCTTAACACAGGTTAAAAAGAACAAGGTGTTAACGTGATTCAATGTTTGAGTGAATTCAGGACTTATTTGATATTTCAGCAGCACTTGTCTGGCCTTTCATTTTAAATCTCAGAACACATTGATTATAAACTGTTTTACCCAGGTGTGGTGAGCACTGTTAGGAATGGATTGTGTTTTTGATATGTGCTGTATTGCATTTTCCCTCCTCCCTCTCTACTCAAGAACTTGGGCAGAAGGGTGATTCCCCTGCTCCCATCTCTCCCATCTCCCCTCTGCACTCACCCGACTCTCTAGAAGAGCTTTCTCTGACTGAGAGTCCAAACCAGCCTCCTGCAGGATCTGCTGCATCCTTGGGCTCCTTCTCCATTGAACCCTCCAGTGCTCTTTCCAAGGACATGCCTTGGAAGGGTGAAGATGTCCATAGTAAAAATAAGGAAGACCATCTAGTTTCATTAGCTGGTCCTTATCTGAGTTTAGGGAAAGACACAGGGCCTTATAATCCGTGTGAAGACAGTGGCGTCTCCTTTTCACCTGAGGAAAAGCTGGTTAACTCAGATAGGTCCTCCACTGGCCCCTCCCCTGTCAACCCCCACATGATGGTTCCTGAGTCTCACCTTGCCTCCTCTAACCCAACAGAGTCCTGGGATTTACCATTCCTTTCATCTCAAGATAACTCCAAGGCCCCTATGGATTCCTTCACCAAGGACACATCTACCATTAGTCCTTCCAAATATGAGCCAGATGTTTGTGCCAACCACTCTGATGAAGATGATGACTTGATGTACGAAGTGAAGAGGAATAATAACCCATTTGAGGGCTATTCCCCTTTGGCAGACAGTGGCTACTCCCATTTTGGAGAGCCCAAGTCTGAAACCCAGGCATCCAAAATGTCGGACAGTCCTACGCCAGATCTGGTCCAGTATGGGCAGAGCGGAGGGTCACAGGAGAATCTACCATCCATTTTAGATGAGGGTAAAACATTTGAGACCAGCAAAATATCCAGTGAGTCACCCATGCAGTCCCTAAATCAATTCTCATCTGGCCCTAAAAACGGTGATGGTGAAGAGGAAGAAGACTCTACTCTCCCACCATCACTCCCAGACATCCTGAAGTCTTCCCCCCTCAACCCTGAAAAAGTTGATTCTGGATCATCTGAGGGCAGTCCAGAGGAGCAGAGCCCTATCCTTGAGCGTCGGATGATGGAGTCCCCCAACCCTCCAATTAACCTGTCTGCTAACAACCCATTTGCTTTTGACACTAAAGTGTCCCTGCTGAAGGAAATGACAGAGGAGATGGAGGCAAGGGCTACAGATAAACCAGATGTTGATGATAAAAGCTTTGGTGCTTTTGATCTGGTCAAAGAGGCAGAAGAATCTACTCCAGCTAAAGTCAAAGAGGAAGCTGTCAAAATTGAGCAGAAAGATTGGTTCTCAAGCCAGGATTCTCCCAAGAATATTGAAAAGTTTGAACCACTTGACTTCCAGAGCAAAAAGAACATTGTGGAGGATTCTGATTCTGAGTCGCCAACAGCAGACTCTCTGTCTCCGGTCTTGGAGGCCATGGCCAAGAATCCTGCCAGCTTTCAGGTAGAAACTGACCAGAATGACCTGAAGATGGAGCTGGAAGAACCAGAAGTGGGCGAGGAGGTCTCTGAGCATGAAGTCTCCTCTGAGGAGTTTGAGTTTATTGAGAGACCACCCAAAGGCGTCATCGATGAGTTTCTTGAAGCACTGGATACTTCCAAGTTTGCGTCCTCCAAGCCACCAGAGATCCCCATGGATGATGATCTTAGCTTTAGTCTGAAGGATTCAGGTTTAGCAGCTGCTGCTCCTCCAAAAGTAGCATCACCCCTAGAGTCAAAAGAAGACATCCCAAGTCAGAGTTCATACCGCCTCCTCACCCAGGCTTCCCCTCAGAAGACCAAGGCAGAGCTGGAGAAGCTAGACATCCAGCAGCATGTGACCCAAGCTCCCCTCACCCGTTCCCCTGTTGGCAAACCTGAGGAGCTGGTCACTAAGAAGAGCAGCCAAGGAGGCAGGTTCTTTAGGATCCCAAACCTGAACATAAAAGCAGGTAAACTACACTGTTTCACCATGGAACCCCCCCCCCCCCCCCCCTCCTCAGTTTGTACTGCCACCTCCCATGAACATCTGCACAGTTTCACTCTTATGTTCCTCAGTTTCTTCCATTGATTCATCCAATCATCAGTTCATCCATCTGTTTCACCAATCATACATCCATCCGTGAACAAAACCAGCTTTAAAAATCCACCCCATTCGCCATACTGAGACTTTCCGTTCTTGCATCGTTGTTTTTTGCATTTCTTTGATAACATTTGCATTTTGTAACTGTTGTGTTTAAATTTTTTGTTTGGTTGCATTTTGTCCATTTCTGTCTCATAACATAGTTTCACTGCATCTAAACATGTTTTCTCTGTTAAATAAGGTAAGGTTCCTAATTATTTCACCCACTTCTTTATCCTTCTGTTCAATTCACTGATTAACTAAAACCCTTTTCAGATAGACATTCTGGAATATGTGTGGACAATTCAATCCAGTTTTTAACCGGAACTGTGTTTTCAGACACACCACTTTTGTACCGAAACTTGTCTTTTCGGCTGCGTTCACACAGCAAGGAAAAGTTCCAGATGTCTTGGGGGGGGGGGGGGGGGGGGGGAATTATGCTTATGTTAAGCATAATTCTGCGCACACGAAGATGCATAAAAGACCTGGATGATGAAGCTCAATGGTTGAAGGACTCACTGAGGCGGTGTGAAGCGCTCCGTTGCGCGTCTAGACGGTACCGTAGGAGGCGAGCTGCCATGGTTCACCGCATGCTACAGCAGCGAGCTATCTAGGTGCGCACAGCGTCCCCCGGTCTCCCCCTCCTCCCTGTCCGGAACTCGACCTCACCAGTCTGAAGCAGCCACCTTGTCCGTAACAAGTCCGGACCTGTTACTAGGGGCTTCGTCCGGTTTAATTACGGAAAACGTTATCCGGATGTTTGTATTCAGACACAAAGATCTTACGGACAGAGTCCGGAACTTTTCCGTTTTTCATGGCCTGTCTGAAGGGGGCTCATTTGTATGAAGACCAGTTTTAACAAGATGAGTGGGAATCTGGAAATATGCGGATGAAGATCGGCTTCAGAGCTGAGATGTTTGTTCTCTCAGCGCGAGGGCTCGTTCCGATGCCCAAACAGTAAAAAAAAAATGCAAATGACGACTTTAGTCGTCACTGGCAGTGAACGGTTGGATCTTAAATGACGACATTAGTCGTCAGTAGCAGTGAATGAGTTAATTGTGTTTGTGTGTGTGTGTGTGTTGTTTCCATGTTCCTTGAAAATGCGGTAAAATGTAAACAGAGCAGTATTTGTTATAAAAACGAGTAAATCAGTTAAATATATAAAAGCATTTATTTTCATTTTCTGTCTTAAACTCAGCAGCATGTGCAGCTGAGATGGATGAATTTTCCTGGGCCAGTCTGTCAAATGATGCAGATTCCTGAAATACGGAGAAAATAATTTAGTTTACCAGCTAACAACTAGGACTATTTTTCTGACAATAAAATTAATAAACTCCAAAACAGTTATACGTCTAAATATACTTTTCCTTTTTGTAAAAGGAATACAACTGCTATGTTAAAAATAAAATCACTGAAAATTAAAAACATTCATGCAAAACCAACGCTGACAAGCAAACAAGTGCTTAGAGACTTTTATCTAGAGAGGCGCTATATAAAACATAATATCTTCTTCTTCTAACATTTTGGTCTTTCTCATACTGACTTGCAATAAAACACTGAGAAAAAAAACACTTGTTGGCTTTTAGGGGTAGCAGCTAAACATTTCTAACTATATGATCAGTTGGAGCTGAAGTAGCAGAACAACTGTGCTTGTTGCTAAAAAACCGAAAGGTCACACCGGAAGGAGATTGTATAACCCGGAAGTGAACGTAAACAAAGCGTCAGTTTACAAAATCAAAGTTGACTTATTTTTTTTAATTGATTTAATCAAATTATGATTGATGAGTTGGGTATGTGTTAGGCTTAGTGAAGTCACCAAAATGAATGGAAATCCATGAAGGGTACACACAAGGATACAAATACAAGTATGTGTGTGTTTGAATGGAGCTAGGATCAGGACTTTAATACATGTAACGTGTATCATGTTTTGTAACTGAAATTTTTGTGTTTCAAAAGTTACAGTTACAAAACATGATACAAGTTACATGTATTAAAAGTCGTGTGTGTGTGTGTGTGTGCGCACGTGTTTGTGTGTGTGTGTGTGTGTGTGTGTGTGTGTGCGGGCGCATGTTTATGTGTATGTGTGTATTGCCTGCATTGCGACGCTGGCAGCCCCACAGAGGCTTCTCCGACCCAAAAACCACTCAGCAAACATTCTGTTATGTAACCATGGTAACAGCCCTGAAATGAGACTCACTGATGGTTTAAAGCTGCTTTCTCTGCTTTATGTTGCACTATAATGACTTTACAGGTTTGTTACAGCTTTAAGAATATTATAGCTTTAGTTGGTTAAACATTTACCCTGAGCAGAACTACGGGGTGTGTTGTTGTTCATTTAGAAGAAAATCATTTATTGAACAAAGCTGCTAGTCTTTAATGGTTGTGGGCAATAATCGCCTGTAAAGAGGTACATTTTTTTCCCCTCTTTATTAGATTTCTTCCAGTTGCTGTAGAAACACTTTTCCTCATATCTTAGGTTTTATGTGTTCCAGCTTGGTTAGGACATGAGCAGGTTTTGTGTTGTGGTGGATAAACACATTTTAGGACCATATTTGGAGTAATTTTATTCATTAAATCATATTTCATTTCTACTCAGGTTGATCTCAGAGGACAGAAACAAAGTTCTACCATCAATTTTATTTTCAAATGGTAAAGGTTTTATCAAAGGGACTATAAGGAAGTTTGACAGCCAAAACATGTATAGAAATAATACATTTCTTCTTCATACATTCTCCTGCAATGCCCTGGTCCTGTAGAATGAGCCCTGGCATGTTTACTGTGATTGCCTGGTTTTCTGTAAAATCACAGAAAAAGAGAGATGCTCGGGTCGAACAGGCTGATTCATGCGCGTTCACGCTCAGGCATAGCCCGTAGCATTTGCTATCAGTAGCTTTAGCAGCAGAGAGAGGCAGTGCCAACTCAGCGACTTTGTCCTAACGCCTAGTGACCAAACCTAGCTAAATTTCTGAGGACCCTTAGCTGCTTTCTGTAGAACTTTCTTCTAGATATTTCCTGCAAATTGGCAACAAAATAGCCATTTTCGCTACGAACCGTTGTTTGGATTGACGTTGTTTCAGCTGTCATCAAGGATATAAACGTTACAGATAAATTCAATGTCACTGGTGCTTTAGCTCACCTAATAAGATGTGTGACTCTCATGTGAAAGGCCTGGGTACGATTCCAGGTGTGAATGTAACTTGTTATTTGGAGTTTCTTTTTACATTAATGATATTTTTTACAGTAATAAGACACCCAAATTTTTATTTGAGACTCGCCGAACGGCATTGAATTCACGGATAAAAAAGATGTGGGTTCAACTTTCATTTTGGAACAATTTTTCAAGCAAGGGAAGGGAATGATCTGAGCATGCAGGAGGACTGACCCATCATAAACCTTTGTCGGCTGTGCTGAAGAGAAAGGTACAGAACCAAATTATTTAATTAATTAGCTACATGTTCTCCTGTCCTCTGTCCTCCGGGCCACACACACACACACACACACACACTGGACGTTCGGCCGGTTGACGAGAAAGTGCAGCTGCAGACACAAAGGCACATTATTTTTATTAATTTGCTGTGTACTTCTGTCCTCTGGGACACACACACACACGCACGCACGCGCACACACGCGCACACACACACACACACACACGGGACTGTCTCAGCTGTTATTTTCGTTAAGGAGTGTGCACGTACAGCATGCACACCTCATGCACGAGCTTACTTTTGAAGCTGCAGTTACGCGTTAGGCCCGAGTGGCGATCGCAAGCATAAAAACTTCAAACTTCCTTACAGTCCCTTTAAACAAGTTTTTAGTTGAATGCTTCTGCAGCGCCCCCTGCTGTGTACATGAATGTTTAAGAACTGGTCATAAAATTAGAATATCATGTAGTTGATTTATTTCAGTAATTCTATTCAAAAAGTGAAACTTGTACATTAGATGTGTTGATTACACACAGACTGATATATTTCAAATGTTTATTTCTCTAATGTTGGTGATTATAACTGACAACTGATGAAAGGCCCAAATTCTGTATCTCAGAGTATTACAATATTAAGGCCAATGCAATAAAAAGGAATTTTAGAAATATTGTATGAACATGAAAAGACATGTACAGCCCTCAATATTTAGTTGGGGCTCCTTTGTGCAGCAGTGTGGCGTGGCATGGAGTCCATCAGTCTGTGGCACTGCTCAGGTATGTGTTTGTTAGTGATGTTACCTGTGACACGCAGGATTCGAAGCTTGTATCACCAAAACGAACCACCGCAGAGCAAAGCACTGTGTCGGAGCTTGATTTGTTTACTGAAAGTCACGTGACCAATGAGCAACGATGCTTCATTCACCCTTCCACCCACGTGACCGCTTCACACGTTGGTTCAAACATTTAAAGCAACGCAAACCGAGTAGGCGCAGGTTTATGGCAAGCCAAACGAGCATTTATTCTGATATCAGGATGTCAGCCAGAATTGTCATGAACATGTAAGCCATTTCTGTCCACTAGTTAACTAGTTAGCCATGTTTGTGTCAACTAGTTAAATAGTGACAGCCTAAATGTCAACTAGATAACTAGTAAGGCCTAAATTCTCTCTAGTTAACTAGTTAAAATGTTTCATATCTTACTAGTTAACTAGTATTGCTCAGTGTGTTCACTAGTTAACTAGTGCGCATTTATGTCTACCACAAGTTAACTAGTGTGCACATTTTGACCCTCACTAGTTAACTAGTGAGACAAATACCTTCAAGTAGTTGACTGGTATGATTTCTGCTTTTACTAGTTAACTAGTGAGCAGTTTTTGTGTCAACTAGTTAACTACTGAAGCCTAAATGTGC